ATAAATTATTTCCCAGCAGTTCTTACCCCGATGCATCGAAAACGAATCGCCCGTTATTTCCATATAAACATTTGTCAGGTTTCACTTTCAATCGTGTCGTGCCCTCTGGCCGTCTCCTGCATTCCAGTGTGCGCCGTCTTTTAATGAAAAAAAAGACAAGAAACCAAAAGAAGGAGAAATACGAAATTAACGCGGAAAGGGAGTCTCCCCAGTGCCCCATGGACCCACGCGATTTCATCACGAGATTACGTGTTCATATTTTTTTTCCTGGCGCCAACTCTTATGCCGACTTTTTATGTTGATTGACTTTTTGCACCGGCTTTTGTCATCATTCAAAAAGTAATATCAAAATAATGTTGAATTTTAATTTTTTTCCAATCGTGGATACATCTTATAAGGGTGAAATCTTTTCTAATTCGAGAAATAAACAATTTCAACAGAGTAAGTTATAGATAAAAAATCCGAATTCATCGAATTTTTCTATGGCATGTTTTGAAATCAAATTTTTCCGCGAAGAACGACACGCGAAAACTACAGAATTCCCTCCGCAATTTTTCCATACGTATTGTTTTGATCTAGTCGAAAGAAAATTGATTGAATTTTCACACTAAATTTTTTCATTATTCAAAAAGTAATATAAAAATAATGTAAAACTTCAATTTTTTCTGCAATTGTGTGAACATTTTACACTGATAAAAATTTCTTGAAATTTCAGTCACAATGTCATCGGAATTTCCAATGTTGTGAGTTTGAATTCAATTTCAATTGAAAACATTCACTAAATTTCTCATTCATCTTGAAAATTCAAGAAAATTTGATTTTTCATATTAAACCATTGATTTTTCAATGAAAGCTTGAATTTTCAAATTCATCGCGGAAATTGAACATCAAACACAATTGAATTTTCAAGAGATTGAAAATTCAGAGAAGTTATTGCCTGAATTTTCAACATTGTTAAGCTTTTTCAGTGCCGTATGGATTTGAAAATCGAGAATTACTTGAATATTCAAGAAATTAACTGATTTGTCAATGAAGAATTTTACAGAAATTTCATGTAACTTGATCGCTGTTAAAAATTTAAAGTTTTTTCACTTGAAATTTCAAGTGTAATTTTCTAACAGTGTATACGCCTTAAACCGTTCCCAATTTAAGAAACAAAAGGAAACAGCAGAAAAAAATTGAACAGTTCATGAATTTCAACATGATAAATTACCGAAAAAATCCGAATTTATAGATTTTTTCTATTGCATTTTCGATATCAAAATTTTCTAAAAAAAACATGTAAAAACTACGAAATTTCCTCCCCAATTTTTCTATACGTGTTGTTTGATCCATCAGTGAAAAGAAAATCGATTGGCTTTCTGCCCCGACGTTTGTCATCATTCAAACAATAATGTAAAAGGTTACATCTAAAAAGGGAATGAGTAACTTTATTTCGATCTGCACTTTGAGCAGATGATAATTAGCGCATTTGTAACTGAAGTGAAATGAAATAAATGGATTTATAAAAATTGAAAGGGGGGCAATTAACACGTAAAGTTCATCACGCGTTGTGGATATGAGAGTTGAGTCGCACTCGCATGCGATATGCTGAATAAATAATTGAGCCATTGGGGGAGATTAATTGGTACAAGTGCACGAGTTATATTTACAATTAGTTGGATAATTACTTTCGTGGGTAATATAAGAAATATAATTATCGATTAAAAGTCGATAAAAATGGTAAATATCCTTATGTTAATGCTGCACTTGGATATAATTCCGCTCTTTTCCTACAAAAAAGAATTATTCGAAATAAGAAGAATGAAATGATTATTATTGATGTTATTTATTGATGTCGAGAATGGATTTTTAATTTCATTCTCAATCTTACAATTCTGATTTTATCTCGTAATCGCACCTGGTGCTTTTAACATCGGCAGTTATGACGGAGGTAAATGTTTATTTTTTGTTCGCAACACCCCAAGAAGTATCTCCAGTTACTCCTTACTCCCCCCACGGTACAAAAAAATTGCGTAAAAATGAAACGGACGGGGAAATTGAGCCAGAACTTTCAGTAAGAAATTGAAATTGAAGAAAAAATTGCACATTAAAATACAGAAACGACGTCGTTGACGGTGAATTTATTGTGGCGATTTAATCGGAATATTAAGACCAGTGGCAGCTGAGCGTTGGATTCAGGCTCGTGTTTTAACATGGGCTTTCATACGTCAAGGACAATCGGCACTTCAAATCACGGTGAGAGGTAGCTAATTGCGGAGGGTGTAATGGATCAATGTGTTTGTTGAGGTAATTATCTAATCCGGTGGACGAATGCTCCGTCAGCAGTTTTGATGATATGAACGTGGTGAGATGTGTGTTGAGTGAGGCTTTTGGGTTTAAAAAATCCTTTAATAAAAAATCCAATGTACCGTTTTTTGAAGCCAATCTATTCAGCGTATTGTGTCATCAGGTTTTTTATAAGTGAGGATAACATGCATTAAAGATATTACGATAATACTATACTATATTCTATACTATACTATATTATAATACATTAGGCATATATAATGGTATATGTAATATAAAACAATATCGTATAATCAATGCATGTTATTATTGTTATCAGTTTATTGTATATTGTATATTATTCATAGTATTCATAGTATTCGAATGGTTGCCTTGAATGGCGAAAGTCAAGCCAAACAAGGCTCCTCAAATATACATTCGTTAACTATTAACGAATGAACATTTGGTGGGACCGAATAGACCTTAACCTCCAACCAAAATCCATTCGTTAACAATAACTAATCCGTTCTATCAGTGTGTCTTGTCTCGGTTTTTTTGGTCAAATGCATTTCCCGGAACAAAATATCAACCTTTCCTCTTCCAATTAAATCGATTCCCTATAGAAATCGGCGCCAATCTCTCTGAGCGCGCACGCGTGGCAGATACCGATCGAAATACGCCCAGGAATTACATATTCTAAGCGCGAGTGCGCACTGCGGGGCCGTTACGTCGTCGGCCTTGTGCAATTACGCCAAGGAAATAAAATAAAGGAGATCGGCTGTTGCTGTGGGTAACCGGGTATTTGTTACCCCGGGGCCTGCTCTTACGACGATGTCCGTGCATAATGAGGGTAAAGTAATGAGTACGTTGGGGGAATATCAGACGCGTCAAATGATCTTTTTATCAGGCTGGTAATTGTCCTGCGAGGAGTTGATAGGCGTTGTCTTGGTGGTGTTCTCGGGTATCTGGTTTTCTGATTGGTGAGATTGAAATTCATTCCGCGGCATTGGCAATGACTTCCCATGGGAAATCAAGATATTGCTTTATATTTTTAGTTTTCAGAATGATAATTATAGGGGACCGGGGCAAAATGAAATAATTTTGAAAATCCATCACTCACGCGATTTGGGGGACTTTTTTTGCTCTAATTCACTTCGAAAGTAACAGATTGAGATTATACGGAGAGAAATTTTCAGGATAAATTGCGGAACTCACAGTTCGCTCACCAATTACGGAATCGACAGTTAAAAATTACAGAAGGTTCTGGAAAAATTCTGTGATTTTAGGTCAAAATTACGTGACAGTTCCGTAAAATTTCCTACAACCACATTTCCCTCTGGAATTACGAAAAAAATACGTCATTTTTATTGAATATTTCTCTCCGTGTAGGTTACGCGATTTTTAATTTCTATTTGGATGGAATTTTCTCTTTAGGTTTTCAATCTGCAGACCACGCACTGATGATGATCATTCTTTCGATACTGAATATATCGTCTTATGCTGGCCTATTCCATCTACAATATCTTCTAAAGGAAGGAAAAGAAAAGTTTGTGACACAAAAAAATATTGTTGAGGTCTTTTATGTGAAAAGCGCTGTATTCATAAACTGTGGGGCGTGTAATTGTCTGACTGTTATTCGATATTTTTGTTCATTGTCTCGTGAAATTACTCCTAGCTTCGGAAAGGTGGGGCTGGTGAAGAATGTGAAGATCTCAAAAAACAGAGGAAACGGTGGATTTGCCGTTATACGTTTTATAAAGCATCGTTGATAATTAATTGAATACTCAAAATAACGATAAAACTCGTCCAATTTTTTTCGAATAATTTCTCCTACGCATTAATAAAGTAACACGCTTTTTGACCCGCCGCCAAAATTTCCGCGACAAGTGTCGTAAAAAATAAAAACCTGAAAACATTTTTCCCAACGACAGGTAGATTGTTGATATCTGATCTGTCGACAATTTATCCTTGGTCTAATATATCCGCTGTAATGTTCGAAATAATATCTGAAGTTATTGAGTGATTTGCAAACCATTTGCATCAATGAAAAATCCGAGATTTTATTCAGTCCGAAGATATTCTAGATAAATGGTTGATTAAAGATGATGTGGTTCCAATTCTGTAGATAGCTGAATGCGCAAAAGCTCTGCATTGATCTCAAAGGAATGTCTAATTGAAAATACTTCCTGTTTACTGAAAGGGAAATCAAATAGTTGCGGGAAAAAAATACGTCGAGAAAATGTTTTTTCTGTTATTTGTGGAAAGAATTGATTTTCAAGTACGACTTGATGTCCTTTTAGTGATTGATTCGATATGGAGAAAATTATTGCGATTAATGTATAAATCATAGGCTGCTTCATCAACTATATTATGACAATCGAGTATTACCGGAAAAATATTTATAGCCGGAAGTCGTGAACTTCCTCAGTAATGAATATTTATTGATGGACTACATTTCGAATAACGAGTTTTTGGCCTGTAATCGAATCAGGTTTTATCAAACATTATTTAGACACTCTTCGATTTTAGAATGTAGGGTTGGGGTGATGGTTCGTCCAATAATGTTAGTATAATTTCGACGGTGGAAGAATAAAGACCTCATTCATTCAAAATAGTTGCCTTCTTGACTGTATCAAGAGAACGTGAATTAAAACGAGGATAGTGATAGAAATATTACAAAATTATTTAGTTTCGAAGACATCTCAAATATGTCGCATCATCTGAATCAGAATATGTCAAAATTTTTTCACAAGGAAACATTTCCGCTCTTGAAATACATGGGATTCTGGAAACCCCAGGAATTGTCAAAGTGGAAATCAATTCTTTATGATATTTACTCGACTATAATAGTAACACTCATTATGTCATCCGGCCTCGCTCAATTCTTGGGTATCTGTTTTTTGAGCCACACAAACCTGAGAGTATTTATGCAAAATATATTCATCGGTCTCACAACAATGTCTATTTGTTTGAAAGTTGTAAACTGGTTTTACTCTCTTTCGAAAATCATAAATATCTTAGAAATGCTAAAGCAACATCCGTTCGAGTGTCAAACTCGTGAGGAATATCTAATTTATCATCGATTGAGCAGTAAAAATCGGTAATATACCAAGATTGAAAATATCGCTATTCCTCTATCTAATCGTGTTAATTCATTTCAGACGCATTTCTATTACATCTCTTACATACTGCATGATGTCGGTGGCATACTATTTCATTGACCAAATAGTTACAATTCGACCACAGAGAACATTACCTCTTAGTGCCTGGTTACCGTATGATTACTCCAATTCATCAAAATGGTGGTTTTCATCATCATATCTTGCACTCGTTCAGTACCTCATGGCAGTGTTCAACGAGGTATACAACGTTTTCTTCTTCGAATTGATGATGCAATCAGTGGCGCAGGTTAAAATATTAAAGAATCGACTCCACGTGATGATGACAACATTAGTAAAAGCTCATAGCACCAAAAACCATCTTACCAAGAACGACTTGCTAATGGAACGTGAATTGTACCATAAATGCGTTCAATATCACATCGCCATTCTCAGGTTAAATTGTTATTCCACTTCTATCATACATATTTTATAGAATTTCGATGAGCAGTTCCACGTCAAAATCGAAACAGTCGATGTCAGTAGCGAAGTGGTGAAAGGAGATAAGTCAGTTGTGACTATTGACCAGTTTTCAATCAATATCTCGGAATCTAAGGGAGATGGCGAAATTTTTGTTATAACCTTTTTTGTGAAGCCAATTGAGTGCTATAAACAATGTAATAGCAAAAATTTCGCCATCTCCCTTAGATTCCGAGATATTGATTGAAAACTGGTCAATAGTCAAAATTGACTTATCTTCTTTTACCACTTTGCTACTGATATATGTGAGGGATCGAAGTGTTGATGTGAAACTGCCCACATACCTATGATGTTCATGTTCATATGTCGCCTAATTTAACGCGAGTTACACAATTTCAGATTGACGAGAGATATCAATTCGATCTTTGCACCCATAATGATGGTACAATATTTGATTACTTCGATTACTCTACCCTCAACTGTTTATCTCATTTCCAAAACAATGATATGCTCGAGAGATTTTTTAAAACTTGGCGCTTACGCCGCATTCCTATTGCAGCAAATGTTGATACTCTGTTATGCTGGCCATCGTACGTATTTGGAGGTAAGAATGAATTACAAATTCGATTTTCGAAGAAGATAGTTATCATTTTTTGGTAATAAACACGATTTGCGTAGTTTGATAGTATTGGAGATGTTTTGTACACGTCCGATTGGATTGCACTACGTGAATCCAGCAAGCAATCAATGAAGTTGATGCTGGTCAGTGCTCAGAAACCGTTCGTTTTTGATTGCTTTGGTATGCTGAAATTGGATATGGAGGCATTCAAAAATGTAAGTACTTAGAATACGAAAGATACAAACATTTAATAAAATTTTACTGACAATTGTCAACAAGTTGATTTTTATGATTGATGATCATCATTTTCAGGCACTTATGCTGGCATATTCCATCTACAATATTTTTTAAGAGAATGAAAAGGAGTGTTCATGTCCAAAACGAATATTGTTGAGTTCTTTTATGTGAAAAGCGCTGTATTTAGAAACGTTGGGGTATACGTGTGGGGTATACTATTGTCTAACAGTTGTTTGATATTTTTATTCAATGTTTTGTCAAATTACTTCCAGCACTAGTGTGGGGCAGGCGATCCCCACGTAAAAAACGTGGGAAACAGCAGAATTTCCATTTTGAATTGTATAGAACAGAATCCCTGGTTAAACTCTGACTAAGGGAAAATCGCAGTGAAATTTGAATTTGAAGCGTTCGTTCGAGCTAAGGAGTTATGGAACAAATTTTGATTTATGATGGAACATGTTAAAAAGGCGAAAAAGGATGTCCGTAACCGATTTTACCCCGACGTATTTCATTTCCATTTTGACCTTTAAAATCCTTTAAAGTCGGTCAAGTGAATTTTCATCCGAAGGAATTTTTTTCTCAAAATGATTGTTACACTCTGAAGAACGAACGTATGCGATTCATTGAATCCATAATGGAGAAATAGAAAATTTTTGTTTCCGATAATAGTTCTCGCATTAAGGACGTAATACACCCTTTTCGCCTAAATTCACGTTTTTTTGAATTTTTCTGGTAAATTATTGATTAGATTGACGTGAAAAAATATACCGTTTTTACCTTTTATCATTATTTAATGACTCACGAAATTTCATGATTGTGTAATCGTTTCCTGAACAATTCATAATAGAGAATCGAATTCAGGAAATAAAGATACAAAGAAATGGAACGAAATTGAGAGCTTTGATTTGTCACTACGGATATTGAAAAATATTTCGACAAAAAAATTGCCACAGTACTTCGATACCTGGAACAAAATCCTATAGAATTTTAATTACCTCTAAGAATTATTGCTGTCATATCGAACGTAAATTTAATTTTTCACTCCATGTTCGAAGGATTAATCAATGTTCCAGTAACAAAATCGATCAAAATTTCACCTATCATAAATTACTCGTTGTTATGGAATATAAAAAAATTCAAAATCATATTTTATTGTTACGAAAGTATGAGTATTCCCCAACAATGTAGTCATTCTTCGACACTCATAAAATAGTCGAAACTGGGTCAGGAGAAGGTGTCCAACCTCCTTTACATCCATTTTTTGTTTCGAAAAATATTGAAATTGTGGCGAGACAGTCCCGCATGCTGATATAGTTGAGCAACTTGAATTTCTATCTCAACGATTGTCTCATTTATCGAAGAAAAAACATCGTCCGAGTCATGCAAAAGTTCATTTTTAGCCGGTTATATTCATCAATCATCGTCAAATTTTTTCCCCAAGTTTATCAATTTATCATTTTGATGCCGTTAAAATATCTCATGAATACTGAGATGGAAAATTTTGATGAATGACCTTTCCAAGTCTTTAACGGCAATTGGACTTTATCATCCTCATGAAAGAAAGCAATGCGGAACTAGAGATCATTCATGAATGGATGAGAATGTCTCGATAAAGTTCGGGTGCGAGGACCGGAAATTTTGCTACGCTATGGCTTTTTCTCGGATGATGCGACACTCGCAGAGGATTTAAAAATGAAAATTACTATGTGAAGATAGTAATCGAGGGCCATACCGGAAAAACTCTAACCCCTCAAGTACCGCGCCCATATCACGCGGTGCGAATTATATATCTCCCGTCTACTCGAATTCTACACTACACTGATGTCTACACTGATGATTAAAAAATTATCATCTAAAATTTAATGATAATCTTGAGTTTTCGGCGATTGTCGGCAATTTGTTAATACCCTCGCGCCTCGTATATTTTACTCGAGGAAATGGCAGAAATTTTTATGTTGACTAGTAAAAACTCCAGCGCACTTCGGGAGCGTCAATTGTTTTCAATTCTTGGAATCTGCTCCGAACAAAGATATGGCATTCATTATGAATAATTGGTGCTAATTATCATTTTTGTCAGTTCCGTCAAGGAATAAATTAGAAAGAACATTGGGGGTTTCATGGATTTATCGGGGGGAAAAAAAATCAAAAACGTTTTGTAACGATTGGAACTAATGAAATAGGAAGCTACTGGAAGTTTGAAATTGTTTTCATACGTTTATCAATAGTTATACACTGAAAGTTTCGATAGCGGTCCCACAGACTGCGAGTTCGGTGTAAAGGTTAAGAATTACTATGTTCCCACAGTAAAAAATAATTTTATATTCTTTTCGTGCATCAGATCATTGTTTGAAGAATCTTCCAATTCGCAAACAGTTTGTAGCAAGAATTGTCTTGATCCTCGATAAGAAATCCTTTTTCTCATTCGGCGTAGCCATCAACTCATTCCCACACAAATTATATTCACTATTTTGACCTCAGCACCGAGCAGACTCGACTGGCTATTAGGAATTGGATCAATGGCACTGCTATGGAATTCTGAGTGCACGGTCAAGGGCATCGGCAACATAAACTCCGCTAAATCCTGCTGACACTCCATTCCTTCTCGTTTTTCCTCCACTCCAAATGAAATGCGTTAATTGAGTAACTTAACTGAATTTTCCTCGTTATACTCAGTGGTTTCGTAGAAACATTTCTTGCTCGAAACTAAAGTTGCCATGAATCGAGTGAGATTCTGACCTTGGCTGGGAAATCAGTTCAGCGTGACGGAAAAAGATTTGACAAATTATCTATCATTCCATGGGGTCTCGAGGTGGACGTCTATCAGTGTCGCACACGTGAGCATCACGTGCGAGTCAGAAGGACGAACCCTATCTATCGATTATATCTAAACATCGCGACATTCTTAAGGAAATTCAAGAATGTCAGAGCTTTTTGCTGTCTCTAATGACATTTATTTTCCGCAAAAGATTTTCTCATAGTTTTCTATCAACTTTCTGTTGTTGTTGATTAGTTTTAAAAAAATTAGATTTTTTTTATATTCTTCACTTCTTGATATTAATCTCTCAATAATTCATTCATGAGTTCAAGAATTTTGTAAATTCAATTTTCATCAACTGAGTTCTGTTGGAGACATCTTTGAAATCATCTCGAAATTCATTCCAAATTCGTCGATTTTCTTCACCATTTTCTTTCCAATAAGATTACACTGTTAGAAAATTATTCTTGGATTTTCAAGTGAAAAATTTTCAAACTGAAAAAAAAATGATTTACATGAATTTCAATAAATGTTATATAGACGGAACAGTTGATTTCTGGAATATTTAATGAAATTCCATTTTTCAGGTGCATAGAACAGTTAAAATTATGGAATTTTCACTACATAGTGGTCCATTTTCACAATGAGTTTGGAATTCGTATTCTCATTTAAATATCAAATCAAAATTTAGGTATCTAATTTACAACACTTGGAATTCCAATTCTATCAATCATCAATGCTTATCACCTTATGTAATAACTATCAGAACGAGGGAAACAACTTCCCCATTACCAAAAACAAATTAATAGTTTCCGCAGTAGCAATGTTTCGCTTTTCAGGCACATGTCTCTGATTTCGAGGAACATTTTAGTGATTTCCAGAAACATGCGACTAATTTTAAGGAACCCATCTCCAATTTTCCGGAATCTATCAGGAAATTTCATTGATCAAAAATACGAGTAATTAGCGTCATTCTAATCAGTGTCCAGTATCATCAACAATTGGCGACATATCTCCGGAAATCACTGACATGTATCCCTGAAAATCAAAACTTTTTCTCATTGCTTCTAGTTCGTACAAATATCCTCAATTATTTCGCAAAGTTGTACCCTTTAATAATCGAACAAGATGCGTTTACAGTACCAAGAAAACAAAAGTATCATGATTTCCCAACTCATCTCCGGCCCCGATGATTTTCGTCGACCCGAGAGGAGCAATAATAATCCATCTGGCCTGTTGAAACGATTTTTTTTCTCTGAACTTGGTCTACGGTACAGCCGTAGACAGGCCAAGATAGGTCTTCTCATCTGGGTAGGTGGAGCAAAAAACCGTGGAGTGCCTGGCATTTACACTCGCAGCTATGTGAAAGGTGGTACATTCGATATACCGCCACAGAAGAACTATCAAGGTACTCCTACGTACAAAGTTGTACGAAACCCAAACGCATACACACACGACGTGACTCATCGAATTGGAAACAGTTGCACTGCTTTTACATGCCTGAGAAGTTTTTTTTCCTTTCTTTTCCATGACAATTATTGGGACAAGAAATTCATTTTGAAATTTATTGTCCTTCGGTGGATTACGACAGTCACCTTAACTGTGTTGTGAATTTTCTTTTAAAATTATACTTTTGAAGAGCAAGGTTCGGCGCATGGTCTTTGAGGTGGAACGGGGTATTTGGAATGATATGAAAAATTTTGGGGAAATGCAAATAATGGGGCAATCCAGGGGAAACATTAAAACCCGCGTTGTTAATGGAGGGACAATAAGTTCGAGGAAATTTGCCTCACAATCTGTAATTCAGTAGCAAAGCGGTAAACCGGGTCAAGTCGATTTTGACGTTTGGTAAGTTTTTGATGAGTATCTCGGAATCTAAGAGAGATACCTAAATTTTCCTCACGACCTTTTTTATAAACCTCAATTGGCTCTACAAAAAAGGTCATGACAAAAATTTTTCTATCTCTTTTAGATTCCGAGATATTCGTCAAAAACTGGTCAATACTCAAAATCGACTTGACCCGGTTTACCGCTTCGCTACCGAATTGGTGACAACAAAAATGATTCTCGTCTGAGTTATTGATGTATGGAGGTAAAGCGACGGTGCAGTGAGATAAAAGTTTTTTTTTCCGTGTGGTGTAAAGCGAACTTGGAGAGAGAGTGAGAATTTCCGTAGTTCGTAGTAGCTCAGATAAAAATATACTCGGCGCGATACTGGAAAGTTCCGGGTTCGACTCCCGACTGAGGCTACAGGAGTCATTCTTTAATATTTCCAATTCTCTCTGAATTATACGGAGGAAAGAGTTTCGGTGTTGATGCAAATGGCAGGAGTTGGAGAAGATTGGAGTGAAATAGTAGT